GTAAGAAGTAGAAAGTACAGGTATTTGTGTTCAGAATGTAAGAAGTAGAAAGTACAGGTATTTGTGTTCAACATGTAAGAAGTAGAAAGTACAGGTATTTGTGTTCAGAATGTAAGAAGTAGAAAGTACAGAGGGTGACACTTTATATTAAGGTACACAAATTAACCATCAACTAGTTGCTAATTAACATGCTTATTAGCAGTATATTGGCTCTTCATTAGGGCCCGAGCACGGAGCGCTAGGACCCAACGGCGTCCTAGCGCGAAGTGCGAGGAACCTATTGTTCTTGGAGGAATTCTTCTTCTTATTTTTCTGTAACGTTTGAGACCCACTGAGATAACACTGAGAGAGTCCTTTAGCTCACTGAGTCTCTCAGTCTGTCAGGAGAGGACTCTCAGTCTGTCAAGAGAGGACTCTCAGTCTGTCAGGAGAGGACTCTCAGTCTGTCAGGAGAGGACTCTCAGTCTGTCAGGAGAGGACTCTCAGTCTGTCAGGAGAGGACTCTCAGTCTGTCAGGAGAGGACTCTCAGTCTGTCAGGAGAGGACTCTCAGTCTGTCAGGAGAGGACTCTCAGTCTGTCAGGAGAGGACTCTCAGTCTGTCAGGAGAGGACTCTCAGTCTGTCAGGAGAGGACTCTCAGTCTGTCAGGAGAGGACTCTCAGTCTGTCAGGAGAGGACTCTCAGTCTGTCAGGAGAGGACTCTCCTCCACTTTGTTGTTGAAAAAGCTCCTTATATCCGTTAGCGTAGCTCGCTAGCACCAGAAGCTAACAACAACAACACACACACAGAGCCCTGTCATGCCTCTGCGCCCCCACTTTATGAACCACTGAATTAGAGCGTTATTGAGGAAAAACTCTCAACTAATGGCTTATTACTTGTAGAATATGGTCATGTAGAATAAGGCATTAATAAGTGTTTTATAATGACTAATAATAGGGAGGCGTGTCGTGCAGTGGATTGTGCGTTGGTGTTGGGATCAGGGGGTCACAGGTTCAAACCCCACTGCAGTCAGCATGTCGTTGTGTCCCTGAGACACTTCACCCCAAAGTGCTCCTGTGGGGATTGTCCACAGTATTGAGTATGTTTGTTTGTTTGTTTATTTATTTAAAGGACATTGCACATTAATCCACATTGCTGTAAATGAGCCAGTATTAGCCAGCAGGCTAATTTTCAACTGTTGTCCTTGGCAAGATGTTAAATGACCACAACAAGACTAGAGAAATAAAAACATAATTAAATAGAGTACAGCAGTACAACAATAGAGAGGAACAAACAAACATGCAAACAGATGAAATACTATCATACCTTGATACAGTTAAAAGTGTTCACATTTTTGATTGCTTAAAAGCCAGTTCTTAAGATAGTGGTTAAATGTATGATAGGAGGTGTTGTTCCTTATCTGTATTGGTATTGTGTTCCAGAGTGTTGGTGCCCTCACAGAGAAACAGTGTTTACCAAAGGAACTGGACCCAAGAGGGACTACACAGTCCCCTCTTAGGGCAGACCTTGTGGTTCTGCTGTTTGGGTTTTTCTGCTGTATAAAAGTGCAGGGGGGGGGGGGTGCCTTGCTGTTTAGAATCTTAAAAATTCAGACATGCATCAGTGTGTTTTAAAATATTTTCCCAGCTGAGCAGGTTATGTTTGTCCAGGATTTTGCAATGGTGGTATAGCTTAGGTTTTCTGTCCAAAACTTTGAGAGCTTGTTTGTGAAGTGATAGGATAGGCCTTAATGTGGTGCTATTCACCTGGGTCCAGCTGGTTCACCTGGGTCCAGCTGGTTCACCTGGGTCCAGCTGGTTCCCCTGGGTTCAGCTGGTTCCCCTGGGTCCAGCTGGTTCCCCTGGGTCCAGCTGGTTCACCTGGGTCCAGCTGGTTCCCCTGGGTCCAGCTGGTCCAGCTGGTTCACCTGGGTCCAGCTGGTTCCCCTGGGTCCAGCTGGTTCACCTGGGTCCAGCTGGTTCCCCTGGGTCCAGGTGTTGTCAAACAGTTCCTTATATATCTAAAGTTATTTGCATGACCTTTCTCACTTGTTCTTTGAAAGATAAAGTAGTGTCAAGGATAATGCCTAGATATTTAAAATGTGTAACTGTTTGAATGGCCTCCCCAGACACATAGACCTTGGGTTCACATTGTGATACAGGGTTGGTCTTGCTAAAAAACATACAGACTGTCTTCTTAACGTTTAGATATAGCTGTGAGTCAGTAAGCCATTGATGTGCATGCACCATTGCATCATTTAGTTTGGCCGCAGCTTGGGCCTTGGTTTTTGCATGGACATAAATGACAGTGTCATCAGCATACATGTGCACCTCACATCCAGTGCACACTCATGGCAAGTCATTTATATAAAGGCTGAATAGAATTGGGCCCAGGATAGATCCCTGGGGTACACCCAGTTCATTCCTCAGGGGTGGTGATGTCTCGCCACTTACCCTTACACACTGAACTCTGTCTGACAGATAGGAGCTCATCCAGTCTATTGCACTGGGTGAGAAATTA